ACACACCAGGGCTCAGGACGGAGGGAGCTTGCAGCAGCTGCAGTCTCAGCAAGCTGATCTAATTAACAAGGCAGTGTACTTAAAGGGGAAATGTGCATATCTCTCTCTCACACATATGGTGTGTGTCTCTGTCTGGGTTGTCTCCCCTCCCTCCATTCCTGCTGCCTTGTGGAGTGAGAGAGTTAACCCTTGAGGGCTCAGCCAATTGCTAGTTCATCATTGAGCAGTAAGGGAAATATCCCACCCTCTGACTCCTCCACCTCAACCAAGCTTCACAATCATCATCACTGTGTACCAGTATTAAATCATTTGTTTAAAACTTATACTGTGTGTGCATATACTATATATAATATAATATAGTATTTTGTCTGGTGAAAAAAATTTCCCTGGAACCTAACACCCTCATTTACATTAATTCTTATGGGGAAATTGGATTCGCTTAACATTGTTTCACTTAAAATCGCATTTTTCAGGAACATAACTACAACGTTAAGTGAGGAGTTACTGTATAGCAGTATAGCTGTGCTCTATGCCAAATAAAAATCCCGAGTGATGAGACTGGAATCAATTTATGGATTTCATTTTGTTTTGTGAGTAATTTGTAATTGTACACCTGCACTGCGATTTGAACTTCCATTTTGTGTGTTACCCTACATTATGTCCAGTGTTAAGAGCATAAACTGATGTGCTGTATAACACGGCTATTTTTCATGTTCTGGAGACCTAACACAGGAAGAGTCACCCAGAGGCTTCCAAGGATTACTGTCTTGCTCATGATTAAGGCTTCCGTGACTTTCCATGACCTCTGTGATTTCTGCAGCTGCTGGCTCAGGGGATGCCTGAGCCGGGCATCCCCAGGGCCACCTGCAGCAGTTTGGGAGTGGAGTCAGGGCGAGGAACAGGGGGTTGGGGGCATGATTACCTCGGGGTGAGAGGCTCCCCAGCTCCCATGGCCCTGCAACTCCTAGACAGTGGAGGGGACACGGGGGGGTGAGGGGGGTGATCCACGCCACCCACTGCCCGTGCCTGCAGGCTGCCGCACATCTCCCATGGGCTGCGGTTCCCGGCCAATGGGAGCTGCAGCAGCCGGCGCTTGTGGTTGGAGCACTGCACTGAACCCCCTGACCCCCTCTGCTGCCTAAGAGCTGCAGGGATGCGGAGCCGAGTAGGGAGCCCCTGCCAGCCCTGCCAACCCTCCCTGCCCCCCACAGCAAAAGCAGGGGTCCTGGCCACATGCCACATCCCGGCCCACCCCCAACAACAGTGGGGGTCCCGAGCTGCGCTGCCCACCTCCTCCCCACCTTCACCACCCTCCTAGTAAAATAGTTTTTCCTAATATTCAACCTTGACCTCCCCACACTGCAACTTGAGACCATTGCTCCTTGTTCTGTCATCTGCCACCACTGAGAACCACTGAGCTCCATCCTCTTTGGAACCCCCCTTCAGGTAGTTGAAGGCTGCTATCAAATCCCCCTTCACTCTTCTCTTCTGCAGACTAAATAAGCCCAGGTCTCTCAGCCTCTCCTTATAAGTCATGTGCTCCATCCCCCTAATCACTGGACTCTCTCCAATTTGTCCACACCCTTTCTGTAGTGGGCCCCCCGAAACTGGATGCAGTACTCCAGATGTGGCCTCACCAGTGCGAAATAGGGGGGAATAATCATTTCCCTCAATCTGCTGGCAATGCTCCTATTTATGCAGCCCAATTTGCCATTAGCCTTCTTGACAACAAGGGCACACTGTTGACTCATATCCAGCTTTTTGTCCACTCTAATCCCCAGTTCCTTTTCTGCAGAACTGCCGCTTAGACAGTCGGTCCCCAGCCGGTAGCAGTGCATGGGATTCTTCCGTCCTAAGTGCAGGACTCTGCAGTTGTCCTTGTTGAACCTCATCAGATTTCTTTTGGCCCA